TAGACCATAAATATAATGATTCATTGAGGTTGTTTGACCTTGTTTTCGCAACTTGGTTATATTGGTAGGAAGACCTAGAGGAACACACCTAGTGAGTCTCGTTATTCTTAGAACCACACAACAACTCGTCAAAGAGACAAGTCAAAGACAAGACTTGTCTCTTTGACGAGTTGTCGTGTGGTGCTAAGAGTGGCGAGACTCACTGACGATGCCAATGAAACGTCTGAGAATGTACCACGTCCACGGTCATACTCTGGAAACGATTATGCAGACAATGGACTCCGGACTAGGTTCGTTCCTCTAAGTCTTCCTACAAATATGATTAAGTTTCGAAAACAAGGTCAAACAACCTCTATACAACGAAAGGAGTCTGCGACCACACAAAAGGCGACACCATCTTGGCCTTCAAACCTTAGATAATGATTTATTATACACACTATATGGTTTTTGAATCCTGTTGGGATTGCTGACAAAATAGGAACGAGATAAAAGCTGCGGTCCATTTCAATCTGGTTCAGAAAAACTATTTGAGGTAATTCTATGTGAAATTTAGTGGCATCATGAGGACAGATAATATACTTATAGAAATAACTTTTCTAGCAGTCTTTAAATCATGTCAACGACTTAAATTGACTGAGTTTGTAGTAAAGGTTCCGATTTTTTATTCATATTCCAGAATAGTTTGCCAAACGTGGAGTATTTTGGTGTAGCCATTGGTAGAGTGTTATTTCGGGGCTTTGCAATCTTAGACTTATTTGCAAATTTGGTGCTTAACCAAAGAGCACTTAAGAAGGTGATTTATGAAACCAAAAAGTATTATTTGGTATTCTATTCGATAATGGTCTGATTAAATTTCATTGGGATGCAAATTACTTGTTTTCATTACTTGGCTTTGAAAATGGGGCCCCTTTTTAAGAGAATTCCAGACAACCACGTGATATACGAAATCAAATCGGAAGCTCAGAATGCTGACGTATTGCCCTGAGCCCTTTACATGGTCACCAAATACACCCTTCTGACCCTTTTCGGTAGGATGAATTTATATCATTCTTTACATTTGACTACTTCACATGCACGTAAGACCTCCACGATTGCCTCGAAAAGGTACTGCTGTTAGTAGTCTGCTTGAATCCAGTTTTTATGCCCACGAACACAGAGAAAAACTAAATTCTACTAGGATCCTGGTTTGTGATCACTTTATATAATTGTTAGAGGGACCTACATTTCTAATGAAATTACATGAAGAAGAGATTCGTTTTCGATCTCACCAGATGAGGACGGGTGAAAATCGTTGTACTGCAGCCGTTCAACTTTTATATTCTATTCATGTTGACGCAGTCCACGAGTCTTCCTCTCTCGTTTTGGGTGAAAACGTACTGAGCTTTCGTCCATCATATGATGGACATCATCAGAGCTGGGTTTCATTCTT